TGTGTGTGTGTGTGTGTGTGTGTGTATGTGCGTGCGTGTGTGTATGTGCATGTGTGTGTGTGTGCGTGCGTGTGTGTGTGTGTGTGTGTGTGCGTGCGTGCGTGTGTACATGTGTATGTGCGTGCGTGTGTGCATTTGGGTGTGTTTGAAACAGTCTTTCATAAGAGCTTTACAGACACAGCCGCATCAGTACACTCCTTTTAAGTCATGCTGGCCATGTTTGTGTGGTTTCTCTTAACTTCAACATCTTTCAGCCCGCGGCAAAGAAGGAGGATGACAAGAACCCGTTTGAGGGGGTTGACGTGAAGGACCCGATCGTGGTCCGCGCCGCTACGCGCATCCAGGCGGCCTTCCGGTCACACAAGTCCCGTAAGGAGCTGATGGAGAAATCCCTGCCCAGCTTCACACAGGTTAGACTTACTACACTTACTACAGCAACTACAGTTACTACACTTACTGTATTAGAGCTAGGGGCATCCAGGCGGCCTTCCGGTCACACAAGTCCCGTAAGGAGCTGATGGAGAAATCCCTGCCCAGCTTCACACAGGTCAGTAGTCACACTTACTACACCTACTACAGCAACTACAGTTACTACCCTTACTGCATTAGAGCTAGGGGCATCCAGGCGGCCTTCCGGTCACACAAGTCCTGTAAGGAGCTGATGGAGAAATCTCTGCCCAGCTTCACACAGGTCAGTAGTCACACTTACTACACCTACTACAGCAACTACAGTTACTACCCTTACTGTATTAGAGCTAGGGGCATCCAGGCGGCCTTCCGGTCACACAAGTCCCGTAAGGAGCTGATGGAGAAATCCCTGCCCAGCTTCACACAGGTCAGTAGTCACACTTACTACACCTACTACAGCAACTACAGTTACTACACTTACTGTATTAGAGCTAGGGGCATCCAGGCGGCCTTCCGGTCACACAAGTCCCGTAAGGAGCTGATGGAGAAATCCCTGCCCAGCTTCACACAGGTTAGTAGTCACACTTACTATATACCAGAACAAGCATGTCAGCAGAATGTGCTGGGTCTGCACAAAATCCTGATTTTTCATGCTTTTCCTTGGATTTTTGGTCTCCATTGCATCAGAATTTTGCCTGTTGCAGACAATATCTTTTCTGACATAACATTTGGAAACTACAGACGGGATGTCAACCTTATATACACAAATACGAGATGTTCTACCAAATTGATATGCACAATACATTACGGGTTTCGCACAGGTGCAGTACGTTCTGCCAAAGTGCTACACAGGTCTAAACTCACACCTACTGGACTTACTACACTTACTGAACTTACTATACCAGAGCATCATTTGCTATTGTAGCCCATGGAATCTTTCGTTCTCGTCTCCATAGAATGTAAAGGATATATTTGTTGCTAGAAAACCATGGAATGTTTTTTTATTCCCGTACCCAGGAGCTGAAGGACATGTTTGGTTACGAGGGCAGTGCCACCAGCTTCTTCTGCCGCGTGTGGGGCATCCCCGACCCCGTCATCACGTGGTACAAGGACGGAGAGCTCATCAAGGAGGGACCCAAGTATCAGATCGGATTCGACAGCAAGGGTACGTACAAACAAACAAACAAATAACAACAAGTAAGACTCATCAAGGAGGGACCCAAGTATCAGATCGGATTCGACAGCAAGGGTACGACATACAAGAGTCAAGCCCAAGTGCATGACATATATATATATATAAAAATCAAACAATTTCCCTATTGCTATGGTAATAAGATCTCGCGTATGGTACAGAAATGATGTTCCTTTCTGGTCACACTTCTGCCATCATAAGTTTCCTGCCGAAACAATTTCATCAGGTCATTGAATCATTGAATAGCAAAGTTCTTTTTCACAACCATCAATAGGCAACGTTTCATTGGCAATCGGACTGTTATCTGATGTTTCAATGGCCATCTGTCATCATTGTCTTGTTCGAATTTCCCGTGCTTTATTTTCCAGACAGCCATTGAACATTTTTCTTCTTCTGTCACATTTTTGCACATCTCACAGAAGTTAATCTGCCATAATAACAGCTCTCACTTTTCCTCTATGTTCCTTTCAATGACAGTCAGACTGTCTGTCATCTTTGACGTTATGACATTGTCTGGCTCTAATTTTTCCTGCGCTTTGTTTCCCAGACGGCACGACGCTGACGATCCAGAACGTGAGCCGTGAGGACGTGGGACAGTACACCTGCAAGGCCAACAACAGTCACGGCGAGGCCTTCGACTCCGCTAGGCTCATCGTCGATAGTACGTCACCAATACATCAATCTATCAATTAATCAATACATCATTCAATAGCTCAATCGGGAAGAATGCTCACTTTGTAACCAGGATGTTGTGAGTTCAAAACCCCGGGCGAGTCATACCAAAGACTTTAAAATGGTACATACTGCTTAGCATTCAGTATTTGGAAAAGAGTATGGGAGTTGAACATACAACAATAACAGTGGACCAGCCCCCTGCTGTAGTGCTTGCACAACTGTGTGGCCCAAGGGCTACAGAAATGGAGTTGGGCACCACCCCTCTGTTCTGCATGGCATGGAAAGGGACCTTCTTCTTCTTCATTCAAAAGTTCAACCAACCCAAAACCTTTGCGCAACATTTTATTGGATACAATGAATAGCATACCATCTGTATCTGTCCGAAATCCTGATATTAAATGATCAGTGAGTAACAAGTATTCTGAAAGTAACAGAAGTCTTGATGTAATACAAGATTCCATGATCCCGCAAGCCTCTCTGACCTTTGTTCAATTTGTCCTTCAGTTCCAGCCAAGGTCACAAAGCCTCCAGAGAATGTCACGGCCAAGAAGGGAGATACCATCACCATGCGGGTAGGTACAGCTTCCCTCATAAAAATGTTGCTTGCAGCTTTTCAAATGCTCAATGTATAAATATGAATTTTCTGAACTGAATTCAAAGAGAAATCATGAACAGAAGATAATGCTTTGTCTGTTTTGTATACCTACCGTGACAAAAAATTGCCAAAGTGATGATTGACTCATTCTGAAACTCAAGCTCTGATTGGCTGATCTCTTGACCTTGACTTGACCTTGACTTGACCCCAGGTGGAGATCGAGGGTGACCCTGAAGCTGACGTCATCTGGAAGCACAAGAAGAAGGAGATCAACGAGGGCGGACGTTACAGCTACGAGGACACGGACACTTACTCCATCCTAAGGTAATACTAATAGACTTGTATTTTGCTGCAGTGCCTTTAGTTTATGTTAGGGGGCGCTATAGCTACACAGACACGGACACATACTGAACTCCATGTATTAAAATAAACAAACAGCTGCACTGCCTTAAGTTTCTGTTAGGGGGCGCTATAGCTACACAGACATGGACACGTACTCCTTCCTAAGGTATTATACATTACTGCAGTGCCTTAAGTTTCTGTTAGGGGGCGCTATAGCTACACGGACACTTACTCCATCCTAAGGTATTATACATGCAGTGCCTTCAGTTTATGTTAGGGGGCGCTATAGCTACACAGACATTTACTCCACCCTAAGTTATTACAAACCGCTGCACTGCCTTAAGTTTCTGTTAGGGGGCGCTATAGCTACACGGACACTTACTCCATCCTAAGGTATTATACAAACCGCTGCAGTGCCTTAAGTTTATGTTAGGGGGCGCTATAGCTAAACAGACACGGACACATACTGAACTCCATCTTAAGGTATCAGACATTACAGTAGTGGCTTTAGTTTCTGTCACCATGGTACCTGGTGCTGTAGCTGACACTCTGTGGTGTTGGGTTACATTATGTAGCAAGTTGCAGGACAGAAAGAGTTGGAGGAAATGGTCACCAAATATATGAAATTCAATGTGTTTGAGTAGGAATGAACAGAGCAGCAGTTTGTTAAGCTTTCTTTCTTTTTCTTTTTCTATCATGTGCTAATGTAAACAATAGCCTAGATTATAACACTCCTGGCTAATCATTGGTTTACAGCAAAGTTGCAAAGTTCTAGCTACATGCAGAAGTCCTAATGGTGGAAAGAAGATGACCATGTGAAGCTAGACCATGTGAAGGTTATGATTCATTTTTGTTTGTTCGTTTAGGATCCAGAACGCGACGGAAGAAGACGCGGGAAAATACGAGATTGAGGTGGAGAATGACATGGGCAAGGATAGGACCTTCTGCGCGGTCTCTGTCAAGTAAACACGCGAATCAGACAACACGTCTGGTGAAGAGGGGCATCGCTGCACCCAGACACAGACTAGAGCAGTTCACATTGTAGAGGATGGGCGTCCATCAATGATTTAAAAAAAAATAACTGTCAGAAAATAAGAAATAATCCATACAGTGTCAGACGGACGATTGCTGTATATGCCACAATGTAAAGAGAAGAAGTAAAACAAAATTTCAATCCATGTAACGTTACTGTCGTAAAACTACATGTAGCACAAAAAAACTGGAAATTGTGGCCCTTGTAGAGCTGAGAGTTTATGTGAATGGGGAGGAATGAGTGCTTCGAAATCGCAGGGACAGAACAAAAACACTGTTGCCACTGTGAAAATTATGCTGAGATTTAAACAACTTCAATTGTTCTTGACCACCAAAAAATGTTAATTTTGTTAAAAGCAAAGAACAAAAAAATGGTCTCCTGAAGTTGTTATCCTCAGCCATGTTCCACGCTGGAAAGTCAGCTTGTTGTTCTTATCCAGCGATTTATAAAAAATACTAGATTTTTGAGCAATCTAAAAATACAGGAAGAAACAGACATGCTGAAGGGCTATCACCATCACTGGTACATCAGTATTTAAACCAGCACACATATCGCGAAAGCACTCGGCTATATAGCTTATTGTCTTAACTTGCTTTAGCTGGTATAACGGTGGGTGACTCCGGAAGTATGGAGCGCTTTGCGTCACATACGGTGTAATGATGTCACATCCTGTTCAGTGACATCACTTCCTGTCCAGTAACGTAAGGTAATATTCGTGTTTGGCGACTTCTTTTGTAAAATGACAAAACGTGAAAAAGAACAAAAAGAAAAAAAAAGAGCCATACTTTTGGAATCCCCGCCATTCATGCTTCTTTTTTCAAAGCTTAGAATGCTGATAGTATTCAGGTCTGATGACAGTATTTACAAAAGACAAAGGTCTGTGGACCGAAGAACAATCCATGGGACCCAAATATCCCCATATTACTACAGAAGAACCCTTTTTGTACATTTGTGTGTTACTCGTTTTACCCCCCCCCCTCCCCATAGTTAGGACATGGTTGCGTCCGTGTGGAAAAAAATTGGATGGTTTTTGTGAACTAAACTGGATGGTTTCAATAACTTAACCTGGGTTGCTAGGTTACGCCGTAGTTATCTGGCCAGATAACGCGTGTGGTTTCATTAAACTTTTGTTAACTAAACCGGCTGGAACTTTCCCTGGTGTTCTGTTGGTGTTTACTTTAAAAGAGAGGGGGGCAAAGGGGTAGGATATGAAGGGAAGCAAAGCACGTTGGCAGAACGTACTGCACCTGTGTGAAACCCGCAATGTATTGTGCATAGAACTTCGGCAGAACGTCTCATATAAGGTTGTATTCACACATATAAGGTTAATATCCGTCTGTAGTTTCCAAATGTTGTGTTTGAAAAGATATCGTCTGCAACAGGAAAAATTCTGATGCAACGTTGACCAAAAATCCAACAAAAACTGTGAGGAATCAGGGTTTTGCGCAGGTGCAGTACATTTTGCCGACATGCTATGTAGCAAGGAGAAAAGGATAGGGAAATGGAACAACAGAAAAACAAGGCAATCAGAGATGGCAGACTTCAAACCTTTTCCCATAACTACTTGGCTACCATTCCAGTCAACGCACACAAACACTCCACACACAATCCAGAGAGACAGACACACAGACAAGTAAAAATATTTCCCTTGAGGAGGGTAAAAAGCGGTTGAAGGAGTGTTTGAATTTTGCCTTCCAATACTACCACAGTGGATAACAGCCTAGTCAGTGTAACACACACAGCACAGTCCCTAGTTATAACGAGTCAAAGTTGGATAGGCCACTACAAGAGCTAGATAACAACCAACTAAAACCACAGCCTACACAGTTCAACCACTGTGACTCAAAATATTCTGCAAGACTTTAATTAGTTTGTATACACTGGCTAGTATGTAACGTAAAAAGCTTACCGACTGGCCACGGCTTGACGTAAATATTTGTAGAATTCGCGCTTTTGGTTGTCAACCGATGATGATGATGTTATCCTTTCCTGTTTTCAAGTCTGTAAATGAGGATACAGGAATTTCCTACCTTCTTTCGCCGAGTTTTTACGAAGGCCCATAAGTACACTTAGTATTTTTCATTCCACTTTTATTTTCTATGGGTACTTTGTATTTTCTATGGGTACTTTGTATTTTCTATGGGTACTTTGTATTTTCTATGGGTACTTTGTATTTTCTATGGGTTACTTTTATTTTCTATGGGTACTTGTTTTTTTCTGTGTGTACTTTTATTTTCTATGGTTTACTGTCCTTGTTGAAAATGAATTGAAGAAGAAGAAAGGTGGGAAAAAATAGAAACCGCTCATTAACAATTCTGCTCACCTCCCGAGGCAGCCAGCAGTACCGCGCGCTGACCGTGCCCGAGCTTACCCAGCAGATGTTCGACGCCAAGAACATGATGGCGGCCTGCGACCCCCGCCACGGCCGCTTCCTCACCGTGGCCACCATGTTCCGGGGACGCATGTCCAAGAAGGAGGTAAGTTCCGTTAGGAACTGCGGATGAAAGTTCTCCGTCATTGCCTTTAGAGCCGAATATTAATTTTCAGTTCAACATATCTTTACAAAAAGTACGAACAGCTGTTATAGCTTTTTTTATAGCAACCAAGTCCAGAAACCAATTGGTAGCAACATCGGACTTAAGTTTCCAAGGCCAAGCGGTTGAAACAAACTGTCCCACCGCCAGTTTTAAGCCGGTTATCTTCTGCCCCACTAGGTTGACGAGCAGATGCTGAACGTACAGAACAAGAATTCCAGCTACTTTGTCGAATGGATCCCGAACAACGTCAAGACCGCCGTGTGCGACATCCCGCCACGAGGGCTCAAGATGGCGGCCACCTTCGTCGGAAACAGCACTGCCATCCAGGTAAGGTTTTCTCTGTTGAGGTCTGTGCATATCGCCATTGAGCATTCGAAGCCCAAGCAAATTGTGTTGCTTCTCGTGCTTAGGTCCGGTCAAATACGTCGTACAGTCGTCGGACGATGTCAAACATTATTGGGATGGTCGTGCATGCGTCCAGTAAAATCCAGCTGTCTTGTTATGGAAAATGCTGCCACAGATCCTTGCCGACGGTTCTGTCACGGCCTGCTTGAAAATTTCACGGCAATGAAATAGAACGACGGCCTACGACGGATATGACCTCGCTGTTAACGCGTTATTTGTTTATTAGACCGATCTCCATTAGTTTGTACAGACATCATTTGCCATACATACTATTCTTCCTGGAGTCGTTGACTACAAACTACTTTCATCACAACATGGTAAGGCTTAACTACACACTACATAACCACACACAACATGCAAGTAGTACCGAGAGGTCAGAGGTCGTAAAAATAAAATTTAGACAAAGATTCATATTTACATATCTACATTTCTACTACCACCATGCTTGTAAGGGTTTGGAGGTGTCCACCACAGTTTTCAACCATTCCCGGATATGTTTCTTAAACGATGTTAGTTGCTCAATAGCTTACCGAGGCGTCAACTCTTCCCCCACAGGAGCTGTTCACAGCCATGTTCCGCCGCAAGGCTTTCCTCCACTGGTACACCGGCGAGGGCATGGACGAGATGGAGTTCACCGAGGCCGAGTCCAACATGAACGACCTGGTGTCTGAGTACCAGCAGTATCAGGTCAGTTGGACAGCAGCACGCACACAAATCTGCTTCTACACGATTTCTCTCGTTATATAGATTATGTATATCCGTATTGTTGTATCAAGTATTGTATACATTGTTTTATGTTTACCATTTAAATCTAACAGGACGTCACCATTTATGCTTTAGTTGACATTTAAGTAAATTTTAGCCATTGTTTTTGTTCGGTTTTAGGTACAATTTGACTACCCGGTATCTCAGACTCCACACGACCCGAGATAAGACAAAATGCACTGCTGTTTTTGCAGACATTGTAATACTTTTTTGAAGAGTTTATAGTTCGCTTTCGTAACAATAGGAAACGGACAACGATGTTTGGTGACCTTTGCACGCCTGATGTAAACATTTATTTCAGGACGCTCCCGCAGAGGATGAGTACGATGAGGATGAAGAGGAGGACCAGGAAGGGGAGGAGTAAACCGCTCACTCCCCTGTAGACTCCCCGGCTGTTGTAGAGATAGACATATCTGTTGTGTGTGACGTAGGGCTGCGTACCTAAACGTAACATCAGGTACAGGTACAGGTACTGGTACAGAGGTTTAGGTACAGGTCCGGACCTGTACAGGTCTGTACCTGAACAATTTGACAAATTAACACGTGTTCTTCACTTTTTCAATCATGACACAGATACAATAATAAAGTGTTGGAGGGAAGGGAAAATGACTGACCTCTGACCTGATTTGAGTTTGTTGACCAATCACAACCCTGGATCAGCCACACTCTCGCGATGTCTCGTGAGACTGAGGATCTCAAATCAATCGACGGTGTTTACGTCTTTTCCAGTGCTAATTTTTCGTCTTTGTGGTAGGATTTACCTATCTTTAGTCATATACATGGTGTAAACTAGCTATTTCGGTATATACTCGTTACTTCATGATCCGGTATTTTGGACCTGTACCGAAACGATTTTTACGGTATTGGACCGGTACAGTGTACCGGTCCGCAGCCCTAGTATTGTGGGATAGATGAGGCTTGCCGCACCAATATGGCGACCGGGGAGGGCGGCTGAAATTACGTGCTGCAGAACTCGGGGGACTGTGCGTCCGGACGGCCGTGGACAATAAGAAGGAAGGTGGGTATGGACAGGGACTATGTCGGTGTTTCCTTCTGCATGACATATGAACTTGGTAAAGTGCCAATTGTCTTTCTTCAGCCTCTTATATCTACAGGTCACCTTCTGATACCACACTTTGTTCAATTTGGATGTGTTAAAATGAGACGTAAACAAGTACATTAATATGTAACGGAATTTGGATCACACCCTTCCTTAGAACTCGATAGACCCTACTTACACAGAAAATTTGGAGTCAATCGACCTCACCGATCGTGAGAAAATGACTTGGCAATGTTGACATTATGTCTAGCTGCCCCCCTCCCACAGGGCAGAATTGTATTGGTTTCAACATTCCCTGGAATTTGATCAGCTGGTGTACATCTCACCAAAGTAGCATGTATAAGTAGTACTTATATTTCTCCAATATATGAGGGAATACTGAGCCAATCCATGCTTGTGATCAGAAAATATACACCTGCAAAGCTGGCTAAAAATTGGGCAGCCATTTTGTTCACACTAGGCCACTTTCAATGAATGAACAAACAGTGAAAAGTATAACTAATATTTAAAAAATGACTATGACTCAATAGTACTTATATGTCCCTGTCACACAGGGGAATATGAAGCTCATGCATAGTTTTAATAAAGAGATATAGACTTTGAAAGTTTACCAAAATAATGGCAGCCATATTGGTCACACCCAGCAGCATTCCAAAATTGGCCGGAAATAAGAAAAACACATCTGATTTCTTAAAAAGTACTATGAATCAATAGTACTTACATGTCCCCATAACAACAGGAAATGTCAATCTCATGCATACTTTTAAGAAAGAAATATAGACTTCACAAATTGACCAAAATAATGGTGGCCATATTGGTCACACCCACCAACTTTCCAAAATTGGCCGGAAATCCAAAACATGTCTGATATTTGAAAAAGTACTATCAGTCAATAGTACTTATATGTCTCTAAGCCATGAGCGAATGTCAAAACAATCCATGCTTTTGAGGAAGAAATATAGACTTTGAAAGTTGACCAAAATAATGGCGGCCATATTGTTCACAACCAGCTCCATTCAAAGACTGGTCAGAATTAGAAAAATACTTCTGATTTTTCCAAAAGTACTATGAATCAATAGTACTTATATGTCCCTGTCATACAAGGGAATATTAGGTTCATGCATGTTTTTGATTAAGAAATATAGAGTTTGAAAGTTGACCCAAATAATGGCGGCCATATTGGTCACACCCACCAACATTCCAAAATTGGCCGGAAATCCAAAATATGTCTGATCTTTGCAAAAATACTTTGAGTCAATAGTAATTATATATTTATAACCTGTCATGGAATTTCAAGTCAATTCATGCTTTTGATGAAGAAATATAGATCTTCAAAGTTGACCAAAATATGGGCAGCCATCTTGATCATACCATGGATGATCATACCCAGCAAGTTAAAAAATTGGCCGGAAATAGAAAAACACTTCTAATTTCTAGTTACTATTACTCAATAGTAATCTTATGTCCCTGTCATACAAAGGAATATGGGGTTCATACAGGCTTTTGATGAAGAAATATGCACTTCAAAAGTAGGCCCAAAATCTGATGAGCTGCCATATTGTTTACATCTTCAAGCAGATGTGGTGATGAGGCAAAATTACTGTCAGTTTCTTTTATGAAGTATTAATGGAAAAAACTGTATGAAGTATTAATGAAAATGTATGATATTTTGGATATGAGTCATTTCCTAGTACTTGAAACTTATGTGTATCTCTCCAACTTAGGAAGGAATGTCCTGATGAAGACTTGAATTTGGAAAATTACTGCTTAAAGAAGTTAAGTGTTTGATTTTTCACCTGTATTTTTCTTGTGGCATCCAAAACACACACTCTTCTTCACACAGATTATTGTCATGAATTATTTTTACTTCATGCATAAAAAATATACAGCTCTTGACAAACAACAAGTCTGCTTGCTATATATATGCTTTGAATTCTACACACAAGGTAACCTACAAGACTACTGGCCATAAGACAGCATCGTAGTCACTGTCAGTCTTTCGACGTTTCTGCAAAGTAGCACAGGCCATTTCCTCCAGATTGACAGGACCTGAAGTATTGGACTTCAGGTCTGCCTTACATGTACTTGTGGAAATAATACTTTGTACATTATATCCATACATAAAGGCAGTCATATTTGTATTTCCNCATCTCCCTCTAAACAGTGGGACACTGGCTGTACTACGCGTTCCCTGTACAACGACCTTCTGATGAAGGATGCTCACGTGCCAACTGTCTGTCTAAACAAGCGCTCCGTTCCTTGGTCTTTAACCTTCCAATCAGTCCAACACCCCCTCCTGGAAAACAGACTTAAAGACACGGCGTGGCTGGTTGCCCACCATGCCCTTAAGACGAATGCTCTGCTGTACTCTAAGTGGAGGTTTATCCACTCGGGCACATGTCCGAGGAACAATTGCAATGGATTCGAAACAATGGACCACGTGATGTGGTCCTGTAACGAAGTGTTACTCACATGGACATGGGTGGAGGGCTTCATCAGGAGATGGATATTGTCAGACTTCCGGATCAATAAACATATGGTCATCTTCGGTATTAGTGCCAACCTCCTGGCCAAAGTGTAAGAGAGATGTCATAATCTACGTCATCGCTATCGCGAGGAAACGGATTTGGTCCTCGAGATGTGAGGCACTCTTTGACAAAACGTTTATAACCCACGTTGAGATAGTGCCGTACATCAAGGAGTGCCTCCGCTCAAGACTGAAGCTAGACTTTGTACGCCTCGGTGGGGCAGCTTTCCGAGCACAGTGGTGCTCTTCAGTACGTTGGGCGAAGGTCGTAGGGGGAAAACTACGCCTGCGGTTTTAATCCCCCGTTCCCTTCTAGTCGTATCAGTTTTTTGTTGTGAAATGTCTGTCTTTTATGTCATTATTTTATTTTGATGTGTCAAGTTGGCAGGAGTGGGTTGGTGGGAGCACTTGGACAGTAACCTGTCGTGGGTAGCTTGGCACATCCTTTTTCATTCCCCTTCTTTGTCTATGTCTCTGTCACGTCGAAAAGTTGAAAAAAAAAAGAAATAGTTAAAAAACCTCCTGTCTCTCTTGTCTAGTTTCACTCTTTTTTGATTTTGTTATACCCCAATTAAAACGGGCTGTAGGTACTCCGGTATGCTTACCTGGTGGGGTCTTAGTGATCTCGCCGGGTAGAGCGGTATTTTTATCGTCTTGTACGATTTATCGTTTTGTGCGCCCTTCATTGGGTTACTATTTTTGTTTGGTTCGGTCTACCATTAAACAGGTACTCCGGTATGCTTACCTGGTGGGGTCTCAGTGATCTCGCCGGGTAGAGCGGTATTTTTATCGTCTTGTACGATTTATCGTTTTGTGCGCCCTTCATTGGGTTACTATTTTTTGTTTGGTTCGGTCTACCATTAAACAGGCCCATAGAAAATAGAAGGTGCGTTATCCCAGTGGGGACTTTAGAACGAATTCATCCATCATACTGGGATCAGTGCCACGCATAAAACATGAGGGACGAATTACACGATCTCGCGCTGCCCAGGCCATATGGAGGGTAGGAATGAAAGAAGTTAATCTGGAACAATTTTAGAGACAAGAAATAAAGCCTACACTAGATCTAGCATTGCAGGGAAAATGCTGAACGACAAAAATATCACGTACAGGTCATGTGCTATTTTGCAGCAAAAATGTCCACCATGCCATTTCCTCTTCTTCCCTCTCTTCTATCCTTTCTGTACAAATCAGGTAAAGCGATCTTTATATTCAAATCAACGAAGACATGATCCAGGAGCCATGGTAGTACTCCGTCCCCATGTTAATCCACCCGTTTTAATGGAACTAGAGCGCGGTAAATCGAATCTCCAATTTTACGGCCGAGTTCTGACATATGTAACTTGTCTGCTCCTACACTGATTGCAGCAATTTATTCCGCGGAGCTGCGCAGCCGTTCACGGCGGCAGACGTTCCGACCGAATTGTCGGGCTGTGGGGGCCGTGAAACCGTCGGCTGTTCGTGACTGGCATGACGACTGGGGTGTCAAGAAACAGTCAGCGGTGTGACTCACATCTTAATAGACCGATCCTGACTGACCATCACATTATGAAGTTCAACAGCTGCATCCCACGTCAAATACTTGCATTTTTATGTTCCTTTTACATTTTTACGTTTTGACGGAGCTGGGCGGGGCCACATAGGATGGGTCGAGTTACTAATATCTATCACTTGTGCCTTCAAAACTGCCCTATTTTGTAAATGGGGCGGACATAATCGCAGGAGAACAGATTATCGGTGGCGAAATTATATCATAAACATATCGACCGGAACAAAGTGGTTTACTGTCCTTGTTGAAAATGAATTGAAGAAGAAGAAAGGTGGGAAAAAATAGAAACCGCTCATTAACAATTCAGAAAATATTGACAGAAAATGCAGACCTATTTTCTTTTTTTTTTTTACAACCACGCTAATACCCTTTTGGTTAGTCCTTAGAACATGTTTTACGGGGCACAAATCGGTAGAACGTCCATCCGTGTGTGTTGAGATTACAGACTCGATTACAAACGTACAGTCTCCCCCCTTGGTGACCGTGTGAACTGCAGAAAGACTGATGTAGCCCTTACCTGATGTTCCCAGGTCAGAGCGGTGCAGGGAACAACTGGGCCAAGGGCCACTACACGGAGGGGGCGGAGCTGGTGGACTCCGTACTGGACGTGGTGCGTAAAGAGTCCGAGAGCTGTGACTGCCTGCAGGGCTTCCAGCTGACCCACTCACTGGGCGGCGGCACCGGCTCCGGCATGGGCACCCTCCTCATCTCCAAGATCTGGGAGGAGTACCCCGACAGGATCATGAACACATTCTCCGTCGTGCCTTCACCGAAAGTAAGCACAGCTCTGAACCTTACGATTTTGTCCTTGGACGAAGTGCCCATTCTTTGAATCGTCTCCGTTTTGATTTAAAGTTTAACGTTCCAAATTTGGAATCGCAGATAACAGTCAAAATTGCTCAAGAACTCGGTAAAATTTGGTCTTTATGGATAGATGGTCACTATAGACATGGTTCTTTATGATTGTGTCAATTGGAAAGAAGATCTTAAGGAACCAACAAAAAATTGGTCACATAGGCCTTGTAGAGGCTGTCACTTGTATAGGTGTGACTGTACTCATTTTTCTGATTTGGTATGAAAATTCGTTTGACAATGAAAATCGTTCAATCGTTTTGCCCTGCAGGTGTCGGACACGGTGGTGGAGCCCTACAACGCGACTCTGTCCGTCCATCAGCTGGTCGAGAACACGGACGAGACCTACTGTATCGACAACGAGGCTCTGTATGACATCTGTTTCCGCACGTTGAAGCTGACCACGCCCACCTACGGTGACCTGAACCACCTGGTGTCAGCCACAATGAGCGGGGTCACCACCTGCCTGCGCTTCCCCGGACAGGTAAGGCTCCTCATGGGGACTGATCATAACAGGAAGGCTGCTTCAGTACCATGGACAGTGCCATGGAAAGTTGTATCAGTACCATGGAAAGTGCCATGGAAAGTTGTATCAGTACCATGGAAAGTGCCATGGAAAGTTGTGTCAGTACCATGAAAAGTTCCATGGAAAGTTGTATCAGTCGCATGGAAAGTGTCAAGGAAAGTTGTATCAGTCCCATGGAAAGTACCATGGAAAGTTGTATCAGTACCATGGAAAGTGCCATGGAAAGTTGTATCAGTACCATGGAAAGTGCAATAAAAAGTTGTGTCAGTACCATGAAAAGTTCCATGGAAAGTTGTATCAGTCCCATGGAAAGTTGTATCAGTACCATGAAAAGTTGTATCAGTACCATGAAAAGTTGTATCAGTACCATGACAAGTGCCATGGAAAGTTGTATCAGTCCCATGGAAAGTACCATGGAAAGTTGTATCAGTACCATGGAAAGTGCCATGGAAAGTTGTATCAGTACCATGGAAAGTGCAATAAAAAGTTGTGTCAGTACCATGAAAAGTTCCATGGAAAGTTGTATCAGTCCCATGGAAAGTTGTATCAGTACCATGAAAAGTTGTATCAGTACCATGAAAAGTTGTATCAGTACCATGGAAAGTTGTATCAGTANCAAAGTGATGATTACAAATGAAAAGACATGGACTAAGTGGCTGCGAACTCAAGTTAGGTACAACTTATATTCTCGCAGCCACTTTTACAATGAAAGAAAAATATTTTACAAGACATTAAAATATACATGAGACCTCGCGTGAGTAACAAACCTCCCATCCCAGAAGACACATACAGTTAGAATCTTTTTGTTTCTAATATATAATTTTGAGCGGCTAACATTATTTTACAGTTGGTATCATACGAACAAAGGAAACTACCGCGAAGAACTAAATATTGTATAGAAAGTTTGCAAATACTTGCCAATTATCGAATGTAACGAATCTTTACTTGTATGTTCATGACCTTGGGGCTAAATGCATACATCGGAGTGTGATGTTACACGTTTATCATACTGGGTAACATGATACATAGGATAGGAGGATAAAAGAATAATGTTAAAGTCTTAGGAACCACCAGAGAATAAATTCTATCTAATCTAGGTCTTGAAGATTTCTTCTCTCTTTATGTATAAAGCAACTACAGATGATTCTTAGTCAAATAGTTTTTCTATTGTGTGGTCATTACTGGTGGACATGAGATGACTGAATGTCTTTCTTTGTTCTACCTTTACAAAATTAGTGTAAGGCCACACCAAATTAATTTCTTGGTTAACAGATTTTTCTCGAAAAATAATGGAGCGGGCGGGCGAAAAAAAATACTGAATAATAATGAAAAAGCGTCAAGGCAAGGCAACACAGCTGGGGAAGTAAAAGAAATAAAACAGGTAAATATTTTATATGACTTAGCTTTTAATGAATCATTATGGTGATATTAAACTGTTGCACAGTGAGATTTGTGAATGAAAAAATATACAATGTCATGTACTTCAAAACTTATCATCTACACTAAAAATCACGACACACATTTCAATCCATTCAGCACACTGCATATACAACTGTTACATTTCCATCAAATATCATCAGTTTTCTTACATGATTATAATTTCAATCCAAACTTTATATGGCATTTCTTTGTTGACATTGGCATTGTAGAATCTGAACCAACCATGTTCATAGGTGACTCCTCTTTCTTCATTACTTAGGCCACACCGACTTAATTTTATGGATGACATCCACGCGCGCAGTAATTTTCGCCTGTTCTCAAAAAAAAAAATAAATAAATAAAAATCACGTCCTCTGAGGCTCTGGCCTGGCTCTAGGCCTGGGTAGTCCATGGTAGTTAGCGACAATACGAAGCCGGTGGTAACCCTGGAGGAGGGCACCCAGGCCGCTGAAGCTCAACGACTCAAGAACTCAGTACATACGTACAGTGCCGATTCATAAATTCCACCAAAACCCAGCATGTGCTGGCTTGTCGTATACATCGCTATGTACTGACGCAAATTCACAATACCAGCTTTGTATTCCTGTGGTTTAGTTTTTTTTTTCCTGAATTTTTTTTTTCGCCCACGTGCACTAGTTTGGGGGGATCTTCAGAGGATGTCATCCATAGAATTAAGTGTGGCCTTACCTACATGTACTGTGTGTTTTAGTCTGTGCCCAATATATCAGCTGATCTTGTCTATTGGTTTTAACCTTCAGCCTGCTAAGGTAGCTAGACTGGACCAACTTCTGTATTGTACATGGAGTTAAGCAGCAGGGAGAAGGTTAAATGGCATCTCAATAAACATTGTTTAGCTCCAATGTTACACTGTTAAGAACCATAATATCAATTTTGTTAAATCTTTTAAGTTTTCTAATGTTACAAAAATAATTTGGTGTGAATTTCCCAGCATTGAGGCACTGCCATAGGAGGACCCAAAACACCAGAAATATTATTTTCTTTTCTCACTCAGGCCACATCAATTTAATTTCTTAGTTAATGGATTCGGCCGCTTCTTTTTTTCTGATTTGCAAATAAAAATAAAAATTCAGAATCAACTGCAAAATGCTCATATTTTGCCCTGAACAGTTTAAAACAGTCCTTTTCATCCTTGTTGTTACAGTTATTCCATATTTTCAATGCGATGGTATCATTAAAAGTTCAAAGTTTATTGTTTGAATTTTGAACAAGCCTGGTGTGTTGACTTTATGGCTCCTACCATTTTGGGCCATAATAGGATGCCTAGGCCTGTTTTTATTTTATTTTTTTCACCCGCCCGCTCCATTATTTTTCTAGAAAAATCTGTTAACCAAGAAATTAAATTGGTGTGGCCTCATGATCAAGTAACAAGAACAAAGGTTAGGATGAACATGGGAACCTACTGGTAAAAAGCCTAATACCAGGACACAGACTGGGATTCTTTAAAACTGCCAAATTGTAGATTAAATTATACGTCATTTACACGTTACACTACTAGCAGCAAACTGGCACTAGTATTGGATGTCAATTCTAACTACACTTTCCACAAAAAGCTCTACATTATATTCACAAAATAAAAATTTGAAGATAGCAAAACAATAAAAATACATGTGTGTAATGTAAAATCTCAATTTACAAAATGGTACAAAATGGGGTGCAGATGGTGTTACTGGTGCTGATGGTTAGGTGGTTCTGCAGATGGTGTTACTGATGCTGATGGTGTGGAGAGCTGATGGTTAGGCGGTTCTGCAGATGGTTACTGATGCTGATGGTGTGGAGAGCTGATGGTTAGGTGGTTCTGCAGATGGTTACTGATGCTGATGCTGTGGAGAGCTGATGGTTAGGCGGTTCTGCAGATGGTGTTACTGATGCTGATGATGTGGAGAGCTGATGGTTAGGTGGTTCTGCAGATGGTTACTGATGCTGATGGTGTGGAGAGCTGATGGTTAGGTGGTTCTGCAGATGGTGTTACTGATGCTGATGCTGTGGAGAGCTGATGATGCCTCTGCATGAAGACCTGGTCAGGATCTGCCAATGTTCCGCACATTCAGGACATTCTACTGGCGGACCTGAAACTCTCCTATGTAAACTGATCTGAATTTAGCTAGCATTTTACGCTGTATTAGGGAAACATTTCCACATTATTATTAAATATGAATTTAGACTAAAACACTAAAGTTGCAGCTTTTTTGAACTACAGAATCTCTAACTAAACACTTTACTTTTGGCCACTGTCCAATAAAAGTACATGTAAAAACTAAAATCTTTTCACTGCCTTATTTTGTTCACTGCCCTTTGAGCTACACTTCCCTGACCTTTGACCTACACTTCTCTGCCCTTTGACCAAACTTCCCTGACCTTTGACCAAACTTCCCTGCCCTTTGACCAAACTTCCCTGACCTTTGAACTACACTTCCCTGCCCTTTGACCAAACGTCCCTGACCTTTGACCAACAGTTCCCTGACCTGTGACCCCTGACCTATAACCTGTGCTGCTGTGCCCTGATCTTCATGGTTTTTAGCTTGTTCAGGATGTCCTGAATGTCCAGAACGTCGAAGATCCTGATCAGGCGCTCCGTGCCTGCGGCGGGCGTGGGCTGCAGGTCCCGCCATCTTGCCAGGGCGACCCGCAGCTTGTCCGGGATCGGCGCGTGCCGGCCCATCCCCGCCAGAACATCCAGCGCATCCTGGGGGGGGACAGGGATATACATTTTGTACTGCAGTAGATCATTTAATACATGTGTACAGGTAGATCATTTAGTTTGTATGGGTAGCTCATGTATACACCCCTAAGTATGTTCTGATGCCCCTATGTTTTGACATATGGTAAGGGTTGTCAGAATATAGGGATGTTGGAACATAGGGCTGGAACAGACTGTCACCCCATCCCACCAGAACCTCCAGCACATCCTGGGAGGGACAGAGATATACATTTGTACAGTAAATTGTTTATGCATTTGTACTACTAACAGTAGATCATTGTACAGTACACCCCTATGTATTGATGTCCCTATGTTTCGACATATAGTAAGGGTTGTCAGAATATAGGGGTGTTGGAACAAAGATCACTGGTAGATCTTATAAGAAAGGGTAACATCTTTGCCCCATTGTTTCTTAGGGTTTCTATTAAACATAGGTTGGGCTGTAGGAACATAGGGGGGATGGAATGATAGGGGTGTCAGAATATATGCTGGGTATCAAAACACATGCAGGGGTGTCAAAACATAGGGTTGTTGAGGACGTTGGCAGAACGTACTGCGTGTGCGCAAAACCCCTTTTTTGTGTGTTTTTTGTCAGAATTTTGGTCAACGTTGCATCAGAATTTTGCCTATTGCAGAGGATAGTTCTTCTGACATAACATTTGGAAACTACAGACAGGATGTTAACCTTATATGCCCAAGTACGACTTTATATGAGATGTTCTGCCGAAGTGCAACGCATAATACGTTACGGGTTTCGCGCAGGTGCAGTATGTTCTGCCAACGTCCTGGGTTGTTGGAAAATGGGGGCATTAAGCTAAGTGATCAGATTCTTCCATGCTACAGAATTTCATGTCATGACAGTTGATTCTAAGTAAGCTCCGAGCCACTGTCACAGACTAGGAAATGTTTTTTTCTAACCCACCTTGGGTAGTCTGAGTTTGGGCAGTACAGTTGTGTAGACATCTTTAGTTGTGATGGAGGACTGAACACACTGCACCATCTTCTGTAGCAGCAGCTCTGGGGGAGAACAACACACAGAGTTCAAGTTTGGAAATCAACATATATTCCACTTTTCTGATAGAAAAGCATTCATTGCAAGAGGCAATTGTTACATTAAACATATCTGTATCTGTATCTGTATAGCTGGTATAACCACCCTTTGGCGTAACACACTAGCTTTGCAGGCACGCAGTGTGGTGGCCGCAGCCCTAGTGTGACGTTGTTGCCACGGTGAAACCTGATCTCTCCCCAGCTCATCTCACAGCTGACATCACTCCTGCTGACATTGTTTCTTTATGTTTACCAGAAGTGCTTGCCTGGTCACATGTTCCCCCAGCCTGTGGTACATAATCTCTCACTGATGGCCCCTCACATGTGAGGGGGTGGTAAATCGGGCAGTATTGTCCCGGTGAGCTCTAATTGGCTCTATTGATCAGACCACTTCCAATTTCCGGTCATTTTGAGACACAGGCAACCAGGTGATCATGCAAGCATCTTCTCTTAATCACACCCTTTTTTCCTTCGTCGCCATTGCGTCAACACTGCCCTCTTTCATTTCAAGATGCAACTGCAGAGGAGGAGGGTGAATTTGAGGAAGAAGAGGGGGAGGAAGACATGGAGGAATAAACCTCCACCACACATGCCTACAGTGCAGACGGAGGGTCATCCGCTTCTTTCCCACATTTCTGGTTTTGTTTCCGAACATTTCCATTGGAACCACCTCAAAACGCTCCTCCATATTTGCATAACCACGTGACCAACCTGCCCAGTTATGTGTCATGACATAGGGCTGTAAAAGACTGTGTGAAGATATTTGAAGTTGGATATGAAAGAATGTAAGGGTACAGATTACAGAGATTGTGAAGACCGAGTTGATGTTGTGGCTCATGCTGGTGGTCAAAGAAGGGTTCACAAATTTTTGTCCTTTTAAAGCGTATTTGAAACAAGATGTGCTACTGGCTAAACTGTCAAGCTTGCTGACGGATATGTATGTGTATATTGTGATAATGAAAGAGTGTTGACAAAATGAAGTAACGGTCCAAGAAGGAGTGAACGCAAGTTAAGAAATAAAGGTGGCGATGCCTCTAAGACTGTTGGCCAAATGGTTTCTCTGAATGTGACGTACTTATTATTTCATTTTTGAAATTCCGTCATGTGAGTAGTTTGTGTCATTTCTGTCGGCACGACAAACCTTCAACCATGACCTTTCCCAGAATCCCTTGTGGTGCACTGTTGAGCTGAAAGTGGGAATAAAGTTGGATGGACTTGAGGAAAAAGTCTTGTACTTTTCTTGTAGTCCTTGAGCATTATAACATCATGTATGTAAGAGTTTTTAGATAAAAAAAGAAAACTTCTCTGAATCTGGTAATGGAAGTTGCTACCTAAGCAAAATACAGCAGTTATTTAGATAATACAGCATAGTTTGATGCTAACTTCCTCTAAAAGATACCCCGGTACTAGTGTTTGTGGGATGTAGAAAACATGCAGGCCAAAAAATGCAGTGTCAATTGTAGAGAACTCTATTTTTACATCAAATTTATTGCCATACTTTGTATAAAGAAGGACCTGGATCATAGCTACATGATTTTTTAAACTGCTTGACATAGAACTATTTTTTGCACACATGACCAAAAATGGACAATAACTGGTGCCACATACATAGCTGCACCACTATGTTGGACATGCACCACTATGTTGGACATTTGGCACATCAGAAAATCTAGACACTAACAAAAACATGCTATCCTCACGCAAATACTCCTAACTAAGTGATTCTTTTAAATAGAATCTTCTTTCACATAATTCTGTTTCACATCATTTCACAATTTTATCAGATAGTTATCTAATGACAGCGGGAAGTGCCTTTGTATTACAAACTAAACAGCAACCTATTCTTTACATCGAGTACATGTAGGCATTTTTATAAATATTGGAGATCCTTTTTTTTCCATAATTTTCATGATGAATAAATAGGTAAGAATAGATAAATATATAAATTGTCATGTGTCCACCAGCCTTGCATGTGTCACTACAATCCAAACAGCTGTCGCAGATCAGCCAAGGACAGCTTCTGTTTGCCAACGTCACCACTGTAATGTCACAGAAAAAACTGTTCATGAATCTTTATAAAATATGGTGTTATTTAAACAACACACTAACTTGACACAGGGAGCACATTATGAGAAATGCCTGCTAAACTACAATGTACTTACCCTGACAAGACTCCTTGTGCCAGGTTCTTCTTGGCCTTCTGGAGGTCCCGGATTTCTTCTTCCACTGTGTCCTTACACACAAACCTGGAACAGGTAATAAGTACACAAAGGCTTTGTCTTAAGGTAACATACAAAGATATCAGGAAGACATGCATAGATATGATAGAGATGATATAACTAGGTATGGCTAAAAGGTAGATTACCTCAAAAGTGGTTCTGTGTTATAGCTTGAAAATCCATTGTGTGCCTTAAAGGGTACATTTAATCATCATGTATGATTGTGTTTGATAATGATACAGTTGTTTAATACAGATAGTGCTTCAATTCAAATATTATGAGTAGACAACTGTCAATTGTCAGACTACCTTGCATGCACTTTCAAAATAGGGCCGTATACATTTGTAACTATGCTAATATGCTAGGAGTGAATCAGTACTGACTTGTGGATGACTACATTGTTCTTCTGTCCCACCCGGTAGATCCTGTCCGAGGCCTGGTCCTCCAGGGCTGGGTTCCTAGGCAACAGGAATACTTAAGGTTAATAATATGTGGGGGTCTCTCACCAGTGTATAAATCTAAAATGTTTGGTGCAGGTGGTCTCTCACCAATGTAAAATGATCATGTGACAAACATGTGACTTGTCTACCAGTCTCTCACCAGTGTATGTCCAGTAGGAACAGGTGACTGCCGCCGATCAGGTTGAGCCCAACACCTCCGACTTGTAATGGCACCAGCAGGACCTAGAGAGAAGAACAGGACCTGGTGAACAGATACACTAACTAACCTTCATCAGCATCTCAGGTCAGAAGGATCATGAGATGGGAATGGTGTAGTGGGAAGATGGAATAAAAAATTATGCAATGAAAATCATTGACAAACACAATTTGGATGACAAAGTTGTAATACAAAAGAGAGAATGACCACAGGATACAGAATGGAAAACCAAACATAATGACATAATCATGAGTGATAAGTGACCTCCGGCCCCCTGGGGTTCCTGTTGAACTGTTCCATGGCTTCCATCCTCTGCCTGGGGGGAACCCCACCCCGGATCACAACATACTTATACCCAGCATGCTCTAGGTGCCACCCGATGACGTCCAGCATTTTGGTCCACTGAGAGACAATCACACTGAGGAGACAGGAATAATTTTTCAACATGTGATACTCTAATTTCTAAACTTAACCTGGACAACATGGCTTAATGTTCACTGAAAGCTGCACAAAATCATATCTTGGATACTATTGATACGATCATGGATGGTCAAACTATTATTTGCCTAAAACAAATTCTCACATCACAACAAATTACGGGAAAGCCTAGAAGACTGACCTCTTCACTGGCTTCTCAGGTGTTGACTTTGACTTGTTGTCTGCCAGGATCCCCAGAACCTTTTGTATCTGAGGAAGGTTATGATGGTCAAAATATTTCATGATTAAATGACTGAAAGTGAGAGTGAAGAGTGAATGTGTGAATTCATAATTCATAATTCAATTGTTCATAACAAAAAGAGATGTATACTTTCTATGGCATCTTGGATGTACATACATCCATTACAATGAATAAAATCATCACAATTTGATAAATCTTGCTACCGAATTATAGTATCAGATCTGGGGTTTCTAGTTAATGCCCTGACATATGATCACCTTAGTACTTGGTTTGTCACAGTGAAACATGGAGGACTTCTCTGCATCTTTGCTGGACAGGTCAGTGTTGCCAGGTGTGGTTACATCACTGTTGCTAGGTGTTGTTACTTGGTTGTTATCCTGGAGGCTCATCTCCCTCAGTTGCTGCTCCAGAGTCAGATCTATTCCCTCGTTCACAAAGGTTTCCTGGTCTACAGCCTGCAGGAGGGAAACAGAGGGATGTTGATCTTGAAATCAGTTTAGCTCAAATAACTTAGCAGAAAGCTGAGCTACTCTTTGACTGGTTGAGACAGAGACATGTACATTTATTGTAGATTCATTGTACCAGGGAGATTTCCAAGAGCTCATTTTAACAATGAACAGTGGACCAGTTTAGCATCCCATCCTCAGGTCTGCACCCTATACTAGATACATGGGCCTCTGCTGTGAGACATGGCCCGACTTCCTCATCACATAATTTTTTGCTAACTGTCTTTCTTATATTGTCTTTCCTAAAATATCTACATTCAAATCTGAGCCCAGCAGAACAATGTACATAGCTTTTCTTCATCAATCAGCAACATGCTCATAAGAGAACATTTGCACTTTACCTCTTTCATTAGGCTCAGATGACAGCAACATTGTCTCAGCCTCAGCAGCTGCACCAGGATGTGGCTCACTTTCACATTCTGCTGTACTCCTGGAACATTTTGATGCTGTCCTGTTGCAGTCTTGTGGTCCCCTGCAGGTGCAGTTTGGACTGTACCAACTGATGATGGGGGGACCCTGTCCTTCACATTCTCCTTCTCTCCATGCTGCAGGAGATAATTCTGGAAGGTTTTTCTGAAAGCAACACAAGCAAGAAATCTTAGACTCCAAACCTCCGAGAAGTATATTATACTGCATAAAGTTCACAGTGACATCAAATGACTTGAGATGTGTGATATGAGAATTATAATGAGCACTGTGAGTGAACAGTTGTTGCAAATGTCCTAACATCCCAAATATCATACCGCAAACATCAAACATATACATTAACAACACCTTCAGCTAGGAAATTTGACACCAGTATAAGAATCTTTTGAAATATTGATATCACAGTTGCAGGCCACCTTTTAAATGTAACTGCATGCCAAGTTTGCAGAAAATGGGAGATATAATAGGCTAATATAATAGCCTAAACTCTCCCCAACCCTGACAACCCACCTGGTATCCTGGTAGAACTTGTCGTACACGGCCCTCTCGTCATCGGACAGCTTGATCACATGACTGACCCTGGTGCATTGTGGGAGGCTGACCAGTGGGCGACCGTCCCGCCCCTCCTGTCCCTTTGTTCTCCGGAGCAGCAGGCTGTTCACCAGCGTGTTCAGACGGGCTTTCCCATTGGCTGAGCAACAGCAAGAAATAAAACCTTTCAATATCATTTATTCCACCACAGGTAAATTCAGTTAAAAAACTATATAAAAAGTGATTGAAAACCAGTTTCTTTCACTTAAGGGCTTATCTTCCACTAGAAGACAGAAACTATTTACTGGTACATGAGAAATTCCCCAAACTCTTTTTGACAAGTACAATGAATTGTGGACCATAGCTTCAAGTTCAATCCTACAGTAAGGACTACAACACCTTAAGTATGGTGCATGTTGGGTTATTTACAATAGCCGGAATTCAACTCTCTACCTTTTGGTCCAGATGTAGGGTTGCTAACCACTGACTCAATTTGAATATTAAATTCAGTTGACAATTGTTTGTGAAATCCGTGGTCAGTCATTCCCTCCCTCACCTGTCTTGTTATCCACCCATTTTTTCCACACTTTCATCTCGTCGAAGGGTGAACATCGCATGAAGCGCAGCAGTGAGTACATGTCCATCAGGTCGTTCTGGATGGGTGTTCCCGTCATGGCCCAGCGGCTGTGCGCCCGCAGCTGGCAGGCAGCGACAGACGTCTGCGACTTGTGGTTCTTGATGGCGTGAGCCTCGTCCAGTATGATCCTGTCCCAGATCACTCGTAGGAGTACAGGCATGGGACCCCGGGGCGCGGCTGTGTCGTCCTGGTCACAACATGAAATCAGGGAAGTCAAACCACTGGGAAGACAATTTGTGTTTTCGTGAATGTACATGTATTAGAACTGCAGAGGGGATTGTATGATGTAATTTATTTCTGGATATTACACCACTTTCATATAATTCTCGTACCTGGTTTTCTTTTTTCTCCTCCTGTGTAGGCTGGTCAGCAGCCCAGCTGTAACATTCCTTCCGCACAAGCTCATAGGTGCTGAGTACAAGGTCATACTCCGCAAGCCTGCAATGGAAAAGAACAAAGTTTTAGCCAACAGAAAGATTTCTCTTTACTTTTGATACCATGGAAATATACAATCAAAACTGCCAAAGAGGGAGACTTATAAAATCTGGTCTGTGTGAACAGGCAGTCACTATAAACAGGATTTTTATTGCTAGTGTCAATGGGAAAAATCATCTAAAGGACCACCAAAAAGGTGCCAGTTGTACAGGTATGCCTGACTTGCTTCAAATATGTAAAGGTTGTAACCAAGCAGCAAACATGGTATCTAGGATACATTACTGTTGCCATGGTAATTACATACTCTGTATGATCCTTTGTCCTGTTCTGTCCGTGGTACAGGTACACCCTCAGTGTGTCCTCCTCTGTGTGCCGCTCCACCTCAGCCTTCCAGTGGAGAATCAGCGAGGCTGGACACACCACCAGGGTGGCACCTGACTTCACAACACCCTCCGGAACTGGTACTGTAGGACAGGTACAATAACAGCATTGGTGACACTCATACAAACTTGATTAGACATTTTTTAAAGTTGAAAAATATCACTTCTTTATTAATTCCTATTCATGTTCTGTAAGATGGCAATAATAGGATTTAATTTTTTAACATGTGCATTTTCAGCTGTGGAAGAAGATATAACACAACCTCAACTACAACAAAATTAAATTTTTCACTGTTGATAACATATACAGGTATCAAAGACCAACAACTGTACCCTTTGTCTTGTTGCGTGCACCAGTGTTCTGCCTCTGAGTCAGTATGAGGGAGATCATCGTCAACGTTTTCCCCAACCCCATGTCATCAGCTGTGAAGAACAAGTCTTTGTGAGTTTTAGAACATTTGAGACCACTAAGCTAAGAGCTGTTTCTAACATACAAAAATTCTTGGAAGACATCTGCCATCTTTACTGACCCAGAATCCCTCCTGAGGGATGCTGCCCCTCCCTCCAGGTGAGCCAGGCCAGAGCCTGACGCTGATGGGTAAGCAGGCTCACACGGAGGCAGGCTGGATCTTCCACTTCAGCATCTGGGGGTGGACAGGATTCCAGAGACCTGCAACATTGACAAATAAAGTAAATTTAACTTTATCTAATGTCAGCATAGCAGCTAAACTTTGTGGGCCAAGCTATTCTATTATGAATACGGCAGTCTGAGATCCTTGTTGGCAGTTAGTTCTGTCAGAGTCTGAAAATTTGAAGGCATCAAATTCATGCAGCAACCTATATGACGAATGCGATAATCGCACCCAAAGTCACCCTGGCGCAGGGGACAATGTCTTACTTGTGCAGCCTCTCAATTGCCTCTGATGTCACTCCTGCCACCTGCTGCAGCCTGGTGGCCGTCATCCTGCCCCCATACAGGGTCTGCCCCTGGGGGTGGGGGGCATACATCTGCTGTAAGACGTGGGCAGGGAGGGGCTGTGCGTGGGTGGGGAGGACACGCCTGTCCCCCTGGGGTTGGTGCTTACTGGGCTGCTGCTGACGACCATGGCCTCCTGAAGCACCTGTGAAAACAGACCACATCACTGATGAGTGCTCAAAGTTATTTCAGCTTGTCTGCATCACCCTTGGATGATAAAACTTGGATCTATCTTAGACCAAGGAGCTTATCTTTGACTACTTCTTGTCTAATTTTACACTACTTCTCTTTATACAAGTACAGATGTTAACCCCTCCTCCACACAGATATGTAAGTATGAACATGAACTCACCTTGAGGTTGACTTTGACTGGCACCAAGATCAATGGATTTGATAGCTTTCTCGATGTCCTCGATCTGTGTCATCAGCTTCTTCCCTCCGTCAGCATCCTCGTATTCTTCAGAATCAGATGAATCACTGTCTGACGTTGTTTCTGGAGGGATAGTGTAAAGAATTTTTCCACACCAACCTTCTCCCTTGGTGGCATCCTTTGTAACTTGACATCTATAACACAACCTGAAGGAAAAAGCAGAAACTTATATGAAGATATCATGTCATAAAAATCAACTTATCCTTCTTGGCATAAGGGAGGCGGGAGAAGGCTCCAAGCATCCCCCCCTTTGCCCACAAATTTAATGTTGATTCTATAAAATTATGCTGAAGAATTAATCAGAATCTTACCATGATCAATTTTGACCAAAGAAGGCCATTAATATTAGATGCTGAAGAAAAATAAAATGACAATAGCTGCACATTTCTCACCACAACTGGTTCTCCTTGTCTCTTGTCTTCTGGAGCTCTATGGTCTTCCCAGCATGCTTCAGGCAACCAGAGGGAGGGGGGCTGGGTAATAACAAGGAAGGGAAGACACACATTTGTCACAAGGACATCTCCACTCAATCTACATGATTCATGTACTTACTAATTACAAATACGAACTTAGCAAGGAATAGACATGTGATTCCAAAATTGACATGCTGTAATTCCAATTAAGTATTGTAGGGAACAACATTGCAGTTTTTCACCCCCTCTTCATCACACGAATAAAAAGGATTGTGCATATTCTACAACTGAGGGTACAGTACTAGTACATAACAAAAATCCAGCCCCTCTCCTGTTCCTTAAACCGCTTTCTTCAAATGCAACAAATGTATCATTACTCTATACTCACTCTAGACCTCCTTACTATCCAAAGGTAAAAACTTACAATATGCCACTGACTCACCTGGCAGGTGTGGTGAAACCACACGACTGGGGCATCTGAGAACACATGTAGAAACTCTTCCCCTTATTTGGACCCTCCCTGACGCCAGTCTTCAGCATACGCGGCTTGCCTGGAATGAGGGAGTCATGTAGGATGAAAAGCTATGAAAATAGCTATATCTTGACATGAGCTATATAGTTTTGGTATGAACAGAACAATGCATGAAGTATTTACATTTTTAACATATCCTTTGCAATGTGCTTATTACCTCCGGGGGAGGAGACATCCTTCCGCGGAAGGGTTTTGTGAGAGATTTAGATTTTCATGTTCGCAGCTGTTTCTCGCGTTTGGGTGGACGGATTCGTTTGAGACTCGGTATATGTTTTGCTATTGGGCTGCAGATAATGCACGTTCTTTTGTTTTATTGCATATGTGTTTTCGGGCGTGAAAATGGTGCATTTTGGTGGCCCCAGAACACCCCTTTGAGCGTGAAAGTGGTCGCGACCGTTGACCTTTGGCGTGTATTAAGTATTGTCGGTCTCGTCCACGAAGGTGACCCCTCGCACAGAGGGGTGTTCGGTCTCGATAAATTCTTTGTTTAAAACCCTAGTCCTGCGGCGAGCAACAATTGTTGTTGTAAACAACATATAAAAATATACAATAAAAAGCCCGGAGGTATAAAATCTCATCAGATTTTACTTGTGTTTATACTGTAACAGATTACACAGGGCAGTTTTGTTGATACCTCTGGGTATTTTGGACAAGACATTTAAGACTTATGTACTATGTGTACATGCATAAGTGAGCAGGTCTGTTGTTTACGTACTCCCGTACACAGCATTATTCCTTACAGGTGCACAGGTCACCTGTCCGGCATGTGCACAGTTTGTGTCCAAGTTTAAACTTT